CCTTCAAGAATCTACCCCCGCTGCTCTTGACAGATTGCTTTTGCAACGTGGAGTGTTTGTTCGGCTGGGCATGGGGTGGTTCGGTGGGTTGATCATTCAGCAATCTCCGCAGCGCCACCTGTACAACTACTGTGTGCAGCTGGAAGTAGGCCACAGCACGCGCAATATGAAGCTGCCCTTAGACAAGTTCAGCGGAGATCCGGACGCGGCGGTAGGCTCATGGGTTTTGCTTGAGAGCGTCAGTAGGGCGGGAAGGATACGCACCTCCAACGTCACTCTTGTGGACCAAGACGGTTGACAGTTGCCCAATGGAGGGGTGTTTGTGGGAATGAAACTCTGCGTCGAGTGCAGTTGAGTAGTGCACCAATTGAGCAATCGATGATGAAAGAAGAACAACAACACCGTTTCTGGAGACAACTGGACGACGAAATAAGAACCTGGCAAATAAAAACTTGTGCTCGGCTTGGGGCAGCCAACAAGAAGCGAGCCTCGCTCCAAATATGAGGTTCTTAAGTGCGGGCCGTTTCTGTACTACAGTCTGCCGCTCAATCTCCGGCACAACCTGCCAGTTCGACAATGCCCCCTCCAAATGCAGCTCGCTCCAGGTTAGACATCCTGGAAGCACCTGCACTCCAGCGGCCTCTCTCTCTTTCTGGGTTGCGCCCGCGTTCTTTGGATCCATCAGATTTGATATCCACCCGCGCTCGACGCCGCGCAGCTACAACATCTGGTAATCCTCTGCCTCAAGTTACTTACCACTTCAGCCCAGACATTTCCGTCACTGCGGCACCAGCACCTGCTGCACCTCCACGCAGGCGCACACAAACCCTTCTGCGCCACCTGCACAGACCACCGCTGAACTTGTACCCACGGTACCAACCGCCAATAACACTGCTCCCTCAGAACCCCCCGCAGAACCTCTGCCGGAATCTGCCGACACACCATCCACCGGGACCCCCTCAACTTCAGCTTCTTCGTTACTTACACCGCCACTGCCTTCTCCGACTGAGATATCCTTCATGGACTCTGTAGCGCGTTTCACACACGCCGACTGGCAAAAGGAACAACAAAAGGACGTCATTTGCAACGCCGCCATTCGCTCCATGCAACTTGGGCAATCTTCAGCATTGCCCACAGACCTCTAAGCCGACACCCCAGAACACCTGCGTCCTTCCCTCACCGACATCAAGGAATTGGCCACCAAAGGTCGCATCATCACCGATGACAACGGCAATCCGCTCTTGGTCCGACACTTACCAAACCGCCAAACTCCGACATCGATCGTCCTAGCGGTAGAGCTGCTCGCCTTCTCGACAATGAACCCACGCGCATCTATGTGCCAGTACACATGCGTCCTTGGATCATGCTCCAATGCCACTCCAACACTCTGTGCCACCTTGGCACCGCCAAAACCATCAGCCTTCTGGAACAACTCTACTGGTGGGTTGGCATGGTCGCATGCGCGCGCTTCTGGACTCGACAATGCTACAAATACGAAGGCCGCAAATCAGCACGACAAACGATACGATGGCCCATCCTCACCATTCCTCTGCCATCAGGGCCAGGTGTGGCCGTCAGCGTGGACTACTTTGGACCTCTCCCTACTACTCCACGTGGCAACGCCTACATCTTACTCTTCACCGACCGCATTAGCCGGCGCGCCGACATGTACGCCGTATCACCTGCGAACTACACGGTCGAAGGGACCGCCAATATTTTCGACGATCAATCCATTCCACTCTGGGGATGTCCGGTAAGCCTTCTTTCCGACAATGGTCTCCGCGTACACAATATCACCACCAGCGCCTATCACCCTTGCGGCAACGGTGGCGTGGAACGCGTCAACCACACAATGGCTCAAATGCTAGCTGTGTCCGTCAATAAGAGGCAATATGACTGGGATCTACACCTCCCGCATGTGGAATTAGCCTACATCACCGTGAGCGCCGCCACAGGGCTAGCACCCAACCAAGTGCACATCGGCCGACTTGCTCGCTTCCCCATGACCGTTTTCGACAATATCTACGCTCGCGGACATCAAAGCCTGGCTAAGGATCAACTTGAATACCACAACCTCGCTGTGGGAAGGGAACGTCGCTGTTTCGACCTCGTTCGAGAGCAACACGCGCTCAACGTCGACAAAATCGAGCGCAGGAACTCGTTACTATAGGATGCACTTCACCGCCGACCCATCTACAAGACAGGACATTGGGTTTTGGTCTACAATCAGGAATCGACAATTCGCCAAGGAGCTTCCACCACCGCCTCTTCCTCCGCCTCCGACTCTCAGGTTCTGACAGCCAAGCTCTCCTTGAACTGGACTGGGCCCTTCAAAATTCTTGCCGTAGGCCCCAGCGACGAAGCACCAGATGGGCGCCAGATCGCCGACAAACACCTCTACTTGGACCTGCCCAACGACATGCCCGGCGCCGACGCCAAAAACCGCGTCTCCTTGGTACGCTGCAAGCCGTGCCACCACGCCCACGACACTGACGTACCCCGCTTCCTGCCTGCTGGCCTCACAAGATACGTCCTCAACAATTACACCAACAAATCCCCTCCGCACCACGTTATGAGGGATGACGTCTCCACGCCCCTTCAACACCTCAAAGTCGAGTAAATCACCGGTAACCAAACTGTCCGCGGACGCGGCGCCCTTTTCGCCGCTCTCTACCAAACACACTGGAAAGGCCTGCTTCGGCCCTCCTGAGAACGCGAAATCGACGTTCAACACTCGTGTCACCACATCCTTCGCTACTGGTGTGGCACACCGAATCAGCACAGCCAACAGAACCGTCTTTACCGCATCATGCGCATGGGAGCCGCTGCTCGCGAACTATCCCACGCCAAAGGAGAACGTGTGTCTTCACCCGGCTGCACCGACGTCCCCCGCGACACCTACATTCGCCGCTTCAGCTCCACCGCCATACCCGTAGGAGCCTACTTCTGGTACAAAGCCAAAGACGCGTTCTGGTGGTTGGTCAAAATATCGCGGTACACCACCACTGCTGACCTCTACATCGTCCGCTTCCTCGTCGACCCCGGGCCAATCAAGATCTCCCTCGCCCCCAGCCACTACAGCTCCGAACATCACGACGTCTGCGGTTCCTGGTGTCTGCAAGTACATCGCAACAGCTCCTTTATGCGTGGCATTATGAGGAACGCCGACGAATCCAGAGGAGCCACAACTTAGGCCACAACAGCGCCCGCTTCAGCAACAACAGCGCCGTCTTCTGCCACTGCCCGGTGAACATGCCCTGCTTGGTTACCGGAAACCGCCTGTTCTTGTTGTTTTTTTTCATGCATTCCCTCGACAATCAGCAGCTCTTTCCACCACGGTGCAATCTGCCCCTGGCTGGTTACAACCCTGGCATTGGTTTGTACCTTCTATTTGTTTTGTTTTTGTATTGCTTTTTGTGTTTCTTCTTGCCCATCTGGCGCTAAAGCTTTGCGTTTTTTTTGGACACCGTAGCCACCCAAGCACCTCGCTCGTACAGCCGTCTGCTGTTTTGATAACTTTTAGTCTACGCTATGGTGTTTTGAGCTCGACCATTCTGCCTGTTTCCCCGGTAGCCCATATCATGTTTTCTTCTGCTACCCCTTTGAGCTTCCCTCCCCCCGGTGTTTGCCATCGGGGTTGGGTTTTCGTCGCTTGGCAACGACGTTGTATAACAAGTCCCCCCCTCGGTGTTTGCCATCGGGATTGGGTTTTTCGTCGCTTGGCAACGACGTCGTAAAACAAGTCAATTCACTTCGTGAACTCGGCAACCAGGTTACCGGGTTTTTTTTTTTCACCTCTGTTTTTTTTTGGCATTAACCATATTGGTGGTCGAGTGGATCATGTTGTGCGGGGTGGAGTACCCTCACTCCGCACAAGGGGGATGATCGCACCAAGTTGTGTTAAAATGGTCAAGCACCCTCGAGAGAGTTACACAGTGCTTACAACTGTCTCTGGAAGTGAAGCACCAGAAAATTAATTAAGCCATACGCAGCTGTCATCCGTACGCAAGGAAGTAAGCACAAGATGCCGAACACCCTTAGCAGGATGCAGCGCACCCTTCATGCGACTCGC